GATTTTTTCAAATAACCGAACTGAATTGCAGCAGAATCCGTCGCTGACTGTGTTGCACGGAAGCCAACTCATATCTCAGTCGGAACGACATTGAAAATATCGAGTTATTTTTCTTGATATTACAGTCGTCATGATCTGGTTTTTTAGTAGGGAATAGAGCTCGAGATAGGACAGTGCTTAACGAGTTATATTATTGACAGAAAGGTCTGTGATCCGAACCCAAACTTAGCATCTCCTCTGCTCCTATCTAGACTTGAGCAATCTGTAGGTATCCTAGCCCTCGTGCCTCCTTCCGTTGGCATGGCAGCTAGGCACCAAAAAGGTTGGTACATCTGAATGATTATTATTAGTAGTAATGGTAGTGGTACTAGTAGGAAGTAAGACTGATAAGGACTTGGAACCACCTGATGAGCCCAAAAAGGGTGAAACAAGAGGTTGCAGTTTATATCAACCTTGTAAGTAAGGTTACAAAAATACGTCAATATGACATATATATATATATATATATATTTATAACGAGGGTATATTCCCACAGTTGTTGTTTTCCAAAGATCTCTACAGACAAGGGACATGGTACCAGTCCTGCTTGAGAATGAGGTCCCAGAACGCCCTCAGTTCGTTTCGCAGACATCTCACACGATCGAAAATCGAGTTCATAGCAAAACACATTCAAACTAGGTTACTCACGCCACCTCTAGAATTGATCTCGGCTGCAGTTTCCTCCAAAGACCCTTCAATTTCGTCACCTTTAGGTTTCAGAGTACGCCCTGTTATGTAAACGGTTGCTCCCTCCGCACCCAGTCCGAGAGCGATCCCTCTTCCAATGCCGCGACTGGCCCCAGTAACCAAACAGACTACGTTCTCCAGACGTGGCATTGAGCTCCTCAACAGATTAGAAAATAGTGCAACTAGAGAAAAGGGCTCGATTAATAAAATACAGTACTAATTGCAATATTTATCACCAGTAGCAATTATGAAAACACTGTCAAGAAAATGTTTTTTTTGCGCTCATGCAACCAAGTTAAAATGCTTAGACGAAACCATATGGATAAGCAAACGTCAAAAGAAGAATGGAATCCAACAACAACGCCCTAAAAACATGAGGTCCCACCAGATACAAACACTCACTGGGAAGGCCATAGTAGCCCCAGTGAACCTCAATCACCTCCGGCGTAAGAGTGATACCAGCTTGTATGTTAGTGGTCGAGTTTACAGTGCTGCGGTGCGTTTCATATCACTATAAGGGTTAGAAACCTGGCTGTTGCGCGCTAAGGACGTAAGAAAATGTACTGTTTGACCGTCGAAGCCTTCTGAAGATTCTTCAACTCCGGTGGGAACATCCGATCAGTAACGCTGAAGTACGCCAAATGGTCCTCGGAGGAAATGACTCGTCCACAATAGGTAAACCGACCCCACTCCATAGATTGTGCTGGTTTAGCCAAGTTCTCCCTGTGCCAGTCGACCGACTTTCTTGAACAGGCATTTTCGCACCACCATGCAAAGGGTGTAAACGAGCCAGAGGAGGTTAAGCAATGGCTTGTCATTGAAGTGTGAAATCCATTGCCAGTGAACTCGGCTGGGTAGATCATTGCCGTCTCCGTGGATGGAGACGCTGAGACGAGATACATCACTGCTCAGAGAAAGTGACAGACAAGACCCAGTAGCGCACTCAGTGGCGCGCATGGATCCAATTTGCTGCCTTCTGCGCATAGCTCCTCCTCCAGATCTCCCCGATGAAAAGTCACTGACACTCCTGAATTCAGGCATAAATCATGTCAACTACCAAAGCCAATGTGTAGCTGTCCATCCGGATCATCTTCGAATGAAGTTGTGAGAGCTATTACCACTGTAAATCAAACACGAGGTTTTTAAAGCTATCGATGATCCAGAAAGCGTCAGAGATAGAGGAGGCGACGTGAACGTACCCAGGTGTTACGTGCAACCGGCCCAAAGATGAGCGAACTAAGCACTGTTAACAACAGATAGGTTATCTCCAAAACAGAAGGGCGCTTGAATAGTCGGGCTAAACACTTTCAATAGCAATTCATCTGGCCGTCTGCAGTTACTCAGACGGATTCCTGGCCCGCAACACAACACCGGACAGTTAACTTGGAAACTCGGGTGGTTTCTGGGATAATCGAATTTCTTTTTACCCCAAACATCACCGAGTAGTTAGTCATGACGAGGTGTAGCCCCCAAGCAAGCCTTGTTTAACCGCTGTCTTATCTGGAAGAAAGGAACGAGCGGCGAATCGTCGACAGCTGCACTCGTTTTAAAAAAAGTGTACTCGCGTTGTGGCAATCACGAGAAATTAACTTTACCCCTGCTGTAATCAGGCACATTCTGTGATTCATCTTGCGTCGTGGAAACGGGGCCCGAGAATAGCAAGAAGGATTCCAGCCACGCAGTGGCTGTGTTGGAGCAATTGCATGAGTATGGGCGCTCCATAATGTTGTTTTTTCGGCTTCAGCGTGTTCGATTCAGTCGAGTGGTTCATTGTTTCCAACATGGTTACTCGACGGTATGCACCAGAAGTCCGTCAATATCATACCCTGTCGGCATTCACACAGTTGTAGGTGCGTTGGTGTGTGGGGTGCTCTCCGAAGGCTTTCCTACTGACAGTGGTGACAAGCAAGGATGGCCGACCTCTATGCTTTTGTTTGATTTCATCATCGATGGGATAATGAGGTGAATCCTGGAAAGCGCCCAGAACCGCGGTTTTCAGATCTGTCTGAGCGAGCAGCAAGTCGACCTCCCGCTTTTGAGGGGAGGGGATAAAGGAGGCACAGACATTTCTAGAAAAGCAGACCAGTCATTCTTCATGTGCTTTGCGCTCATGATGCAAAGTTGTGTTGCTGTACATACATTGGTTGAACATGCCTTCAAGGTTTCAAGCAGTGAAAACGGAAGCTGTGGAATACTATACATATTAAGAAGGATGTATTAGCTCAGTCCGTAGTGCGACAGACGAAGTGAACACACGGATCTCGAAGGCCAGGATTGCTTTTGCCAAGTTTCGCTACTTATGGTATCGAGAAGACATCTCAGTGGGTTCTAAGGGGAACCAGCGGACTCGACAGTGAAGCACCGGTGGTCTCATTTGGTTTTGCTGTCAATGATGATGATGCTGATAATGTACACATGTGAGGTGGTTTAGGTCGCTGCAGTTTATGGTAACAGATAGTGTAGGATAGATTGGGTAGAGAAAACAAGTCAAATGAAAGGAAAGCCGAGTCGAGGATTAAGAACAGGAGAATAGATACCAGCGGCACTGACTGCGCGATGTCGCCATGTAGTTTAGTACTTCCATTCATTCATGCAGTACATACACCTATGCATTTACGACCTCCTGAACGTACTCAGACTTCATCTCGGGGTGACGGGTTGCCCGCCTCGTGGTATCTTCCAGTCGGAACCTACATTTGCAAAGCAGGATGCGACCGTGAACTCGCATGAACAAATAAGTGATGCAACGAATGCTCAAAACGTGTTGAAGCTGTTCCACTTGATTCGTTTGACTAGTTCTCAGAAACCTTTAGAGAGCGAAAGGAAAAGGGAGCAAAATGTCTCCCTGATATGCAGCAAGGAAGAAAGTTTGGACCGCTGGACACAGTACTTCGAGCAGCAATTCAGATGGCAACCTAATACCCCCAATCCGGAATCCTGGCTTTCAACAGGTGGGATGTAAATATGGCTCGACCTAAAGCTGCCACCTTGACGTGGTGGTCGGGCTTGAGTGCTGCAATGATCCCGCGGACTACACTGGCTGGAACTTCGTTCCAAAAGGTGCAACCATGCCAGGAAGGCCAAAAGGGAGCAGCCAGATCAAGAGCAGCGAGACCCCGTACTCCGAGTAATCGTGCTACGAGGCGGTCTGGGGGTAAAGTCGTACTGTCCTCTGCGACAGGAGTGTGAAGGCAGTAGGGCATTTCCCCCAGGCGACCAGCATGTTCATATTTACGGGAGCAGCGATGCTGCCTTCTCCCGAGGAAGTACGGGTTAGAAAAGGTCGGTTCCAAAAACCGCACACTCCGATCATCCAACGGTTGACTGTGAACACCGGCGCATTATTCAGTACGGTCGAAAGACTTTTAAAACCAAACAGCCCGATGCTGCTCAGAAGGGACCTACTGTGCGCAGCCGAATCAGGAGTGAGACAGTAATGCCATACTCCCTGCGTTCTCGGGCCAGGCCGGAACCCTACAGCCAAGTAGGTCAGACTATTGGGTCATTGACTCCGACAATGGTCCCCAAAAAACTCTAACAACCGCTTTCGTAGTCCAGACTATCGAGTCGGAGGTTAGGGGCAGGGTCCCCTAACGAAACCCTAAATCCTCTCTGCCTTTTGGGTCAGGTTTTTG